TTTTAATTAATGTTAAATTAATCATTTAATAAGTTAATCATCATAATTAATTAATTTAAATCCTTAATTTTCTTTAATTTGCGTCAAAGTCAAAACTATCTTTGTTTATTTCAAATTTTACCCAAAGCTTTTGTAATTAAGTAATTCAGTCCATGGGTTTCAACTCTTTTCAAATTAGTCCTCTATGTTTTGAATTTAACCAAATCAGTCCCTCATGTTTCGAATTTAGTCAAATTAATCCCCTTAATTTTTACTTGTGTTCATTGTGCATGCATGTCTTTGATTTTGTCCATTTTAGTCCAAAAACCTAAAAAATGTTTCAATTTGGTCTATCCCTTTTCTTAGGCTTGCTTATTAAGACTTAAACATAAACATGATGAATAAGTTGAATTAAAACCCCAATTTTAAAGTATGCAACCGTGTTTAAACGGAGGATTGTGAGGTGCGTGTATGCCCTTCCTCACTCTTAACCGAATCCCCGAATCCCGATCTTTGCGCAGACCCGTTTTAGGTGACTTGTCCCACCTTATAATTTGGATAATTTGGACGAGTGACGACTCCCTTTTTCTTTTATATTTCACACTTGATTTTTCAATTTATTTTAAAAAAAAATCTTAAGTGGTCGTCAACAGTTATCCATTATTTGTTACTCACTACCTGCCCACTATATATTGGATTTTAACTAGAGTCAAGCCAAGTTAGACTTCACAAGTAAAGAATCTCTTGTAACGTCTATTTTTCTATTTATAAAATTTGAACTAAAACTTTATTTAAGGTAAATAAAACTCCTACTACTCAAACCAATAAGTCATTGGCCTGATTGTTCTATTTGTGCAATGAAAAATCACCCTTTCTGTTTAAACCTATGGCTTGTATGGTTTTAAAATCAAGTGTAATTGAATTATTTGCACTGCTAGTTATTGATTGTATCACTAAATTAGTCAGTTTTGACTAGTTTAATATATATTAATTAACATTTTATATAATTTTAAAATAATGCAAAGATAATAAAAATAAAAGGCTAAAGCACTAAAAAATTGTTCCCAGATTAAGTCTAAGATTTTGTTTCACAATACTTGGTATAAATTTTTTTTCGTACTGTATCTTATCTAAAAATGTAAATTTTTAATTTTTAATTAATATTTATATATTTTTATTAATTTTAATTATTATTTTATATTTTTAAGATAATAAAAA